TATATATAATAATTTTTTTATTTTTTTTTATTTTGAGTCAGTATTGTGTAACCTTCAACAAAAACCCTGTTTTTGAATAAAATTAATTTAGACATTTGAAGGTAAATCCTGATAGATGACTGATAGATAGGCTAGGTGTTGTAGGCCTAATAAACTATTTTGTGTACATTTGAAATTATAGCATTTTATATTCATATCATACCCTAGACAGAACTGTCATTCTATAATTGGCTATATTAAAATCCCCTATACACACTGCCTAACAGACAACTGAGCTCCACAGGCAAGTCTGATGCACCTGTTTCCCTTGTGTTGTGAGAGATTCGGGCTGGTTGTAAATGCCCTCGGGCAGGGCAGTCAGCTATGGCACCCATAATAGAATCATGAAAAGCTTTGACACCTTGATTAAACACAGACTCGTCTGATCAGAAATAGCCGCGCAGTTAATTCAATGACGGCAATGATCAAGGTTTAGATTTTATCTTACGGTCTGGCCCACGAAGCAGCGAAACCCGCGGCCTGCCTTTGACAAAGCTAAGAGAGGGCTGTTCGTTAATCGATACGATTTGAAAATAATACATGTTAGACAGTCTAATGGTACTGGAGCTAATCGAATTGAAGTCGAGCGTCTTGTTTTATCATTTGGCTCACAAGACCCACATGATTGAGTATTTGTTAATTGCAGACTAATTCGATCTCCTGATGATTATGATGAAAAGCTGTTCAACTTTAAAGTAATCTTAAAAGTCGCAAAGGTATATGAGGGTAGGCTACACCATAAAAGACCTCCGTAACAACATTAAAATATTTAAATTTCACTAGAATGAGATGTAAATGCAATACATAATTTTATTTTAATTGTTTTGTTTTGATATTGATTACATCTGCCATCTATTAAAATGCGGTGCAGATTTTGAGTAGCCTATAGGTGTTTAATTATAAAATTAAATTATGATAAATAAACAATAAATAAATACATTTCTTTTAAAAACCTTTTGATGCCAAACTGGGAATACACTTAATAGGATGTAAAATTTACATTTGAATGGTCCGAAATGGCACTAGGCTTACACCAATAAACATACATCTTTTGTGCATTAATGCTTACACTAATAAATGATTCCTTTCTTCTGAAAACTTTGCTTGTTCCCACTCGTTCACACTGTCAGATGTACGACTGGAATCCACATCTGAGCATAACATCGCTTGCGCTGGGCTGCGCTGTAGTTAAGAGCGATAATGGGGTTAGTTAATTAGTTTGAGCGACTCAGCGTGAATACAATAATGTTAGTTTCGGTTGTTTTCGATTCAAAGTCCAAAATCGTTTTAGAGTTATTGTTTAAATGTTGCTTAAAAGCACTGGACCTCTGTATCCAATAAATTCAGACTTACATACCTCACTATCTGGCAAACCTTTTATTCTTGTTTCTGTGATAGCAGTTTGTGATTGTAGTACAAGTATATGAGCATGTGACCCAACTCAGGTATCCTCAACAGCCAACCTCTGTAGTGCCTGGGTGTGTGTTAATTCATATCTATAAAATATGAGACACTCTTGAGCTTGATTGAATTAATTGTCCTTATTGTGTGGATGGGTATATTGTCCTGAGCACACTGTTACCTTGTGTCATTCAGAATAACAAAGAAGAAGAAGAAGAAGAAGAAAAACATCCTCAGTGATTAAATTGTGAATACATAAGCTTACATACAGTGCTGTCTGATGGAACGCATTAAATAACCAATGTGTACCTAGTATTGTATTGGCTCAGCAGGTAGTGGAGACAGATAACTGACAGATAACAAACATACAGTATTCAGTTCGCCCAGTCTCTCTCCCTCTTCTCTTCTCCATCTCTCGTATTCTCTGTCTGTCAAAGTGAACACACACACATGTGTGAATGTATTGCCCACGCCTTCTCCTCAAACAGAAGTCTGGTCTGCAAAACACACACACACACACACACACACACACACACACACACACACACAGTGGATTACAAGACCCCTGTGGGGACTCCATGCTTACAGAGCCCTCATTAGTGAAACACAATGGCACCCCACCTCTTAAAGATCACTCAAGTAACAGACTCAACATAATCTCCATAGATGACATGATCATTTATAAATGATGATGTAATTTATACATATAGTCCCTATAAACTGACAATGAGATGCTTAAAATTAGAATCCAGTTCTCAGACTTCATACAGTACAGTGAACATACCTAGATCTGACCTGTTTTTTGTTTTTTTTTTTGCTTTATTTTTGCTTTTTTCGTTCTGTTTAATCTAATGAGAGAAATGGCATACATACGCCATTCTTTCTCTGATACGGTATGATTTTTTTACCCCTGCAAGGGCTAGAACCCAATACATCAGACCATTGTTCTAGGGTCTCACAGAGTGGCTCATCGTTTTAGTGTAGCCTATATGCATATGTGAAAGAGACAGGAATGTTGTAACTTCCAGTTTTTCAGTGGTAGCCTACTTGATTGTATTCTTTGGTATGTGATAAGACTGTTATCAGTGCTGTCCATTGTTCACTTCTCAGCAAACTGTGATCAACTACTGTATGTCACAGCAGGCAAATGCACTGTATTCTGCTCTTATCCTAACACCTACATATCACACAGACATTTGTTTCAGGCTTACTGCTTTTGACTTTGACTTATATAGCCTACACTTATACGACTTCTTTTGGTTAGTAAAACCCCCACTAAA